TGAAATGAGTGTCTCTTGACACTGAAATGAATGCTGAATGACATTGAAATGACTCCCAGAGGGAAGTGGCTCTAATGCGAGCACCGTATCCTTTTAAAAGTGATTGTTCAGTGAAGTGTTCTTTATTTTACTCAGTGAAGTGTTCCTTAATTGCTTAATTTTGTTATTGGCTTATCTGGTTTAAGTGCTTATTGACTGTTGCTTGCATGGAAACCTCACTAAGCTTTAGCTCAACCCTTTAGTTTTGTTTTCCTTACAGGAGTTGGTGGTCAAGAAACGAATGAGGGAGCTTAGGGAGTTAACATGAATTCTTTTGTGATTGTAAATTATCTAGTATCATATTACGACTGAAGTTTTGTATTAAACTTGGTATTGTAAAAGATTTGAACGTGTGATTTTAGTATACCACAATGTTATCTCTGAAGTTAATATGAGTGAGTGAGCCCTGGCGAGAGTCAGGCAGGCGGTCCGCTAACTTCTAGGGTACGCCTTAGGAGAAGGTCGGGTCGTCACAGGTGGGCCTAAAATGATGTGCACTTATTAATCTACAAATGCAATACATCGAAATTTAAACGTGCAATAACCTATCTAAGAGGGTAGGTTGTAAAAGAGTATCATGCCAGAACTCTTATTTCTAAGGCTTTTGAATGCAATAGAACAAAAAAAATGTTAGTTCAATTGATAGATGACACATAACATATTGGAGCAAAAATAATATGAAAAATAGAAGGCAATTAAAGAAAGAAGGGTGTAATCCCTCCCCTCGTGCCTAGTGTTCCTAAAGTTGACTCTATCCTAGATAATTTCTAATATGGATGCATGAGGTTGGCTCACTAATGCATCTAGATTCTATAAAGTTTCAGGTTCCCAAACCTTCAGACCAAAGGCGAAAGGTCTTCAATCCCAAGGCTTAAGAGTTGATGGTTCGAGTGATCCCTCAGACATTGCTACGCCCACGTCGTACCACGGTCACATGTCCAAGTGGATCGATCCTAATCCTAATAAGGAAGAGTGGTATGACAACCACTAAAAGTAAAAAGATATGAGGGATTATAAAGTAAAACGTATGCACGTATGAAGTGCTTCTTTTGAAGGGAGGGATTGAATACCATCAAATGTGGGTGAAGGCTTTAGGGTGGCTATCCCCTCCTTCCCAAGATGCAAGCTTGATATATAAACATAAGTGAATGAAAAAAAATAAATACATTATTTATCACATACACGGATATCGAGATGATTGCACGTGTTAAATGCAAGAAACCCTAAAAAAGAAAAAATGCAACCTAAAACCTCCAAATGTGATATATATATAGATATATATATAAAGGTTAGAAAAAAAAAGGATTGACTAAATCAAATGCTTGGATTCTCTAAAGTTCTCAGTGGAGTCGCTAAGCTGTCGTGCCCCATTTTTTGAAAAAATAAAATTTACAAGTTGTAAAAATGAATTTTTTGATTAATTTCGAGTGAAAGGAGTTTTTGATTTTTTGAGAATAAATAAACAAAAAGGGCCTAAAATGGGACTTAAAAAATGCGATGGTTTTGACTCAAAATAATAGTCTAAAAAAGGGTTTTTAAGAAAAATCAGGAGTCACCACTTGATATTGAGTTAAAGTGTACCAAGTCACCTGAAAATGAATTTTAAATGAAAAGTAGAGAAAACCCTTTTTAAACGACTCCAAGTCTACGAAAATCAAGAGAAAAGGGATTGGGAGTCACGGTTGAAGAAAGGGAAGGCAAGGATAAAATCCAAAGCACCCTTTCAACCTAATCAAGGTTAGTTGCATGATTTAGTCGAAAATTTTCTTAATTTAACCTAAAAAACTTATCACATTTGGATGTCACTATATGAATGCAAACCTAGATCTAATGTATATCAGCGGGTCGAAATATCTTTTCAAATCTTGATTTGTGACAGCCCCACCTTCTCCTAGGGCGTACCTCAGGGTCTAGCGGACCGCCTGCCCAACTCTCGTCAGGACTCACTCACTTACATCAAATAAAATAGGGTGCAACGTTAATAATAAATAACAGTTCCCAAGCTTAGAATGTATACTTGCATACATTTCTATCTCAAATAGTAATACAAACCCAAATATAAAAAGGTTCTCAATTCTAAATACATCCAACCCTATCCAAGCGCTAGCACGAGTAAAATCGCAAAAATTCAAAAGAACTAGACCGTACTAATCTGTACAGGTCTCACGCCCTCGCTCGCATCCCCTGTAAGGAAAACAAAACTAACGGAATGAGTGAAAAGCCCAGTGAGGTTCTATACACATAATCACATAATTAAGTCCAAGACATTAATCATTGAATAACAAATAATCCAGAAAATATTTACAATATAAAAGCAATAATAGCACATTTATTAAAAGGATACATGCTCACGTGGAGCCATTTGTTCCTTCATTCACCAACCATTTCCTTATTCCTCCAATATAAACAAAATGTATTTTGTAAGTGAAAATCCCTCCATTGATATTGCCATTCGTTCATTCATTCCATCTCCCCTACTAGCCAATTTACTGGCCATTCTCTACCAGATTTCGTGGTAATACTCGAGTATACCAAACATTCACCCAGGGTCACCAATCGCCCGACCGAGTCCGCTTCTGGCTCGAATCGACTAGCAACGAAGGGCAGAGGCCCAGTTCAGCCAAAAGGCTTATATTCATGCACAATTAGCATATAATCATTTAATCATAGAAAATTTTGGATTCATTTAGATCGAATGCGATAAAGTACACACTCGCCTAGCAAAATTCATTTTTAGCAATCATTGAAAACATTTAACATTTAATCAAACATCCACAACAAGCCACATAGTCGATGAAAGCATAACGTACAAAGAACACTCACCCATTTAAGCAAAATAACGTCCAAAGTATCCTTTCAGATAATACCCTCAATCACCAAGGGACCCTAAGAATAACCAAGAGAAAATATTACGGTTCAACCATCCAAAGTTTACGTGAATCAAAGAAAATCCGAATAACTACTAGTACAATGTATAAAGATGATTTTTGGAGTGAAAAGAGTACATTTAGACCAAAGGACATGAATAAAATATTTGTAAAACTCATGCTCGCTCTTAAAACTTTGAAATCTACATTTGAATCGAAGTGACGAGGAAAACGTATTTCTATTAGTCGTTACTTTTATTTTTTCCAAGGGTACAAGTTTCAGGCGAACTCTAGCTTATATACCTCTACAAAAAAAGGACTCGAATAACCTAGACAATTTGAGTTAGATTCATCCTCAAATTCTTACTCAAGTCGCGAGTATATCTACCTAACCCTCGAGTGAAAATTTGGGCAGCATGCCCTTTGTATTTACCTATTTTTCAGTCATTTATGGCTTCATTATTTTTCTTAATTCAGCCCCAAAATCACACACAAGTAATGTTACCACCATAGCTCTTCAATTAGGCTCCAAAATCATCCAAGTACAGCACAAGTTTACTAATACAACCGCAAATTAAGTTTTGAAGACAAAAGGCTAAATGGCAGATTCGACATCTTATAGTATTTTGGTCACAACTAGAGCTATGTTTATCGGATTGGTGTGAACATCATATTGTTTCTAAGCTAAGACAGAGGGCTACATTTCCTATGAAGGCATCAACATCCAATTCGGTCATTTTCAAGGTCAAATGTGCAATCTCAAAGGAGACAGAAAACTGTCCGCGAAACAGTGCATTTGGCAGTCAGGGGTAATTTTGTCATTTAACATGCTACATGGCTCCGATTGAACTTAAATTTTACAGGCCGCTTCCTAACTCCATTCCCTACAACTTTCATTTTTTAACCTAGGCCTGATTTGGCCTCTAATATGGACGAATGTGTTGGTCTGTGTGGTTCTTAAAACAGGGCAAAATTAGTACTAAGTGCTGGAAAGTTAAACCCTAAGCTGGAAATTTAGAACTAAAACTGGAAAATCCTTATTTGGAAGCTAAAAGTCATATTAAAGCTAGAAATCTTCATATCATCTCTCTCAAGTCCATAACAAAGCTAGGTATAATCATCTCATGGCTGGAAAATATGAATCAAAGCTAGAAAAGTTCCACCAACTTCACAACCCATGAAATCTTTCATAAAACTTCCATATTCAAGTAATATAGCAACTTAAATGCAAGATTAAAAGGAAAAAGTAGTTCCTTGCCAAGAATACCTTGAATCCCCAAGATGAACAGAAAAATACAGCTTGCTTTCTCCCAAAATAGCTCCACTCCAGCCCACCTTTCTTCCTTGTGTAACTTCTTATGAATTGGTTTTTGATTAGAGAGTGATTTCCTACTAGTTATAGCTTGGAATCAAGGTGAAATTGGAGCAGTTTTTCTTTCTTTTGTTGTCTTGAAGGTTACGCCAAGAGAGAAATCAAAATGAGGGATGTTTGGTGAATTTGCAAGATAAGGACTAGAAGTTTCATTGGTCAAAGAATGCCTTGACAATGCCAACACTTGGCTTTCCCTCAATTGTCCTTTATTTTGGCTTCTTTTCCCTTCTTTTCTAGTCAAGGATTTCGGCCACCCTTAGCTAAAATGGAATCAGAATTTCGGCCATCCTCAGCTGGAATGAAATCAAGAATTTTGATTGAAATGGAAACTTACACCAAAGTAAAGACAAGACTAATGTTAGTCAAGGTCTTGGTCCAAAGTTAGGTAGTTGATTGAGACTTGTGAAGGCAAGAAATAATGCCTATTTATTGAAAGAATATTGTAGACACCAAATTTTGATTTCAAACTTCAATCATTTAAATTTTTATTTTATTTGTTTCGATTTTAGGTCTTTATTTGATTTGATTTTATTTTTGTTTTGATTCGTGTCTCTTGTCTTACTTTAATTGAATTAAGAGTTTTTGGCACTAAATTTTTGAAAAAGAAAAATCAATCAAAGGGACAAGAATAAGACACATGGACCTATTTTGAGGATGAGATCTTGGCCTTTCATTTTAGGGTTAGTTTTAAGGGCAAGATACAAAAAGAAAGGGCTCGGCTAAAATAAGTGGAGGGACGACTGAAGAAAATTCAAGGGGGCGAGCAAAAGAAAAGAAACAGAAAAGAAACAGAGGAGGCCAAGAGAGGTTGCAGCTAAAAATAGAGCAAGGGGGCTGAGGGCAACAACAGAGAGTGATAGAAAGGGGGAGGCGGTTGAGCTTGGAAAAAACAAGAACTGGAGAGTAAAATGGGGCGGCAAGAAAGGGCGAGAGGAAGTTTTTGAGTGGAAAAAAAGGGAATAGGAGAAGAACAAGGAAAAAGGGGAACGGCGGCCAGAAAAGAAAAAGCCATGGAAAGGGGACAGGGGGAAAAAGAGAGAGTGAAAGGCCGAGAAAGAGAGAGACCGAGGGGGCTTCGTCCAGGAAAAAACCAAAAAAACAGAGAGTCGGGGGTTTTGGGAAACAGAGTTGAGAGTGAAAGAGAGGGCAAGAAAAGAGAAGGGCAGAGGAAGAGAAGGAAAAGGAAAAAACCTGAAAAATTGGTAAGGAGGGCGGCGGACAGACAGAGCTTGGGAACAAGAAAAGCAGAGAGAAAAAGAGGAAGGGGGCTTGGGGGCAAAATGAGAAAAGCAAAGAGAAGGAAGAAGACCTACGGGGAGAGGAAAAAAAACCAAACCCTAAATCCTAAATGGATCAAAAAATTCCCAATCTTCCTCAACTCGATCCATCCAAATTCTCCCAAAATAGTCTTTGATCATGAATTCCTAAATAAGCCCAGAATTCTTGCCATTAATTTCCATGTCACCGCCTGAACATTCGCAGTCGGTCATCGCCACGATGACCAATTACACCGTTCCATCACTTCCACCACCGCACGCCCGGCCCCTATCGCCATCGTTTCCGAGCTCCTCGCCGCCTGGCACGCCACCGGCCTAGAGACCGCCCGCCACTGAGGCGCTGATGCAGCTCAATTTCTCCTTATTGAAGGGGGGCGGCTGGAAAGCAAAAAGGGAAATTGAAGGGGTTTCGGTGAACAGAAATCAGGAAGAAAAGCCAGTGGGAAGGGGTTTTGTCTAAACAGAAACGGAAGGAAGAAAACGAAGTGAAGAAAACAAGGAAGCCAAAAACAGAGGAAACAGAAACTGGAATCGCCTCCATCACCTCGTCCGGATCCGTCGTCATTATCGGCGAAATTTCACCAAGCAGAGCACTGTAAGCTGCCCTTGTTCTTTAAAAATTTCAGTTTCTTTTTCAAGCTTTTGATACAGATTCTCCGTGGCTTTGCTTTAGTGCAATTTTTCTGTTAATTGGCTGAAATTTTCGAACATACATGTTTTATGTATCGATTAGGTTGAATTTTCTTGGGTTGCTGATAAAATTTTGAACTGAATTCCTTGCTTTTTGGATGATTTTGGGGCCGGTTGTAATGTAATTTGAGCAGAGATTTGTTGGAATTTTTCCATGCCCATTCACTGTTTGTTAAAATGTCCGAGTGAAGTTATACTTCAAGATGATTGTCTGCATTTGCGTGTGAAGAAACCGGATAAAATCAGCAAGTTCCTTTTCCTTGTGTTTTGAAGAATTTTGATCTTTTTCTGTTTTTTGTTCCCTTATGCTCAATCAAGTTAATGACACGAGAGGGATTCGGAGGAGATTCATGTGAGAGTCATTTGTTTTTCTTTTGTTGATTGGAGTCCGAAGTTGAATTTTCTGATTGCAAAGAGGAATGAAATAGCAGCGGACATTGAGCCAGTTCGGAGAAGAACATTTGCTTGATTAAATTTATGATTTCAGTTCCTTCATTTTCATTTTTGTTTTTTTGCAATTTACCTCCAGAATTTTTAGAACTCCATAATTCGCCCCAAACCTCTCATAATTCTTTCGATTGAGTCCTTGTTTTTATTGCATTGGAACCCCTCAAGTTTCCTTTGTTCTGATATGGCCCAAAAACGTTTGTAATGAAACCAATTTCGCCCTTTAAATTTTAATCATCTTTTCACTTTTAATTAGTCTTTTGGGGTAGATTAATTATTGATTTTAGGCTATAATTGTAGTTTCATAATTTTAATTGATTTTTCCATGTTGGACTTTAGTGAAATGGGTTTTGGGTTGAGAGGTTATTTGGATTGGGTTTGTTAGAATGGGTTTAGTTTATTTTTGGGTTTTTTTTGGTTTGGGCTAGAGGGTAGAAGCCCACCGGTTTTGTTGGTCAAGCTTGGGACATAAATAATAGATTGATCCATTCCTTTTGCTCTGAATGTCCGTTGGGCTGGGAGAGTCTTAGGCCCAAACAAATAAGAAAACGGCCCAATGGCTTGAGCCACTAAGAATCTGGAAACGAAATTTCAAATCAGTCCCTAGACTTTCTAATGATTGTACTAAGGCCCTAAAAACTTTAGTTCTCTTTCAATTGGGTCCTTAATATAATTGCAATTAGGTCCCTAGACTTTTTTTCCTTTAATTTTAGCCCCTGAATTTTGTTAATTTGTTGCAATTAAGTCCCTTCTTCTTCTAACTTCCTAAATGTGGGTTTTTTACATGATTTAATTGATTCAATTTCATGTTCATTTTTATCATTTGTGGTTATTTGTTAATTAAAGTGATGCCTTGACCTTTTTCTTTTATTTTGGAGGGTAAATAAGTAATTAAACCCTATTAGGGCATCAACTCAAGGGAGGTACACTCTATCCTTTATTCTTGACTTTATTTGACCTTATGTGACTTTATGTGCTCAATTGCATGCCATTTGAATGCTTTCATTTTATTTGTTTATTTATTTATTCGCTTTATTTGTTTAATTTAGTATTTTTATTTTATTTTAGTTCAATTTTTGATCATTTGAAAGGCACTTGAATGCCACAATTGTAATAGTTAGGCTATTATATCATTTCATTTAATTCCTTCCCTCTTAGATTGTAGTAGGCTTCCTCCCCGAATGTAATAGTTAGGGCTTTATTAGCTTTATTTGCCTCATGTGATTTGCATGCGTATGTGCTATGTGTTTAATTGCTTTCTTAGATTTTGGCATCTAGATATGCATGCTTATGTGTTATGTGAATTACGTGCTCACATGTCTACTTGCTTTAATTATGCACATTGCTTATATATGTGTGTATGATGGATGCAAATGCACGTAACCGTGGCTAGTCCAATGCTAGTCATGGTTGTCCCCTCGAACTCTTGCAAGTCCAATTCTTCTGAGAGAGCGTAGATGTGGGCTAGTCCAACACTAGCCCTTAGGAGCCCTTCGCGCATTAGATCATGATTGCATGGTAAAATCACTTCATCTCATGCATATCTTTACTTTTAGGGCCTCTTTCACCATGTTGCATGACATCCCTCCTTATACGTATAGCCCTTATCCCTAATTTCCCTATATATATACCCTTATGTGTGATACATAACATTAGAATTGCATTTCATTCTAGAATTAAGATTAGGATAGGGCATTTGCTTGATTAGATTAGGGAAAAACCCCTTGAATATGGGATATGGACGAGTTTGACTTTTCTAGCCTTAGCACGCTCGTATTCCCTCTATTAAAGGGAAAATTGAGTCACGAACATTAGTCCCCCGTACCCGATATGATGCATTCCTTTAAGACATGTATATTTCTATAATTATTTTATTCTTTTCCTTGGAGTCTCATACTTTTGCATCATTCGTGATCTCTCCAAAGAGTCATTATTGGGCGTCACAATTAATGTGATTGGCACCATTCAAGTTTTGAAGAGAAATTTGCCCCCCGATGTCCCCCTAGGTCTAGGTTTTGCATTGATATAGTACATCCAAATGTGATAAATGCTTTGGTTAAAATAAGAAAATCTTTGACTAAATCACGCAACTAGCCTTGGCTAGGTCGAAGGGGTGCCTTGGATTTCATCCTTACCTTCCCCTTCGTCAAATGTGACTCCCGAACCTTTTTCGTTGGTTTACGTAGACTAGGAGTCGTTTAAAAGGGGTTTCTTTTCTATCTTTTTCCTTTAAAAAAATTCATTTTTTAGGTGACTTGGTACACCTTAACTCTATACCAAGTGGCGACTCCAATTTTTATTTCAAAAACCCTTTTTAAACTATATTTTGGGTCAAATCGTCGCATTTCCAAGTCCCATTTAGACCCACTTTCTTTGTAAATCAAAATTCATCTTTCAAATAAAAAATTCACTTTTTAAACCAATTTATTTAAATTTATTTATTTTTCTTATAAAAAATGGGGCGCGACAAATATGAACTATGAAATCCACTCTAAAAGATGGGAGAAAGTGATTTGGTGAAGGTTATTTGAAGATTAAATGGTGAAAAGTGGTGTTTTAGTGAGTGGTATGTGTTTGAGGTGTTAGTGTGTGAGTTGGGTTGAAGAAGAAGGGAGAAAAATTGTGAGGAATCCGTGAAACGGATTCTTCTTACGCTAGTTACTATTCACAATCCGGCCATAAATTGGAGGGATTCGTGGAGGAATTCTGGGCAAAAAATTTTTTTTATTTTTTTGCTGTTGCATATCCGGCCAGTTTCTGGCCGGATTTCCGGCTGGATTCTTGGCCGGATTGCTACAGTATTTTTTATTTTTTTTTACTATTCGGCCAGTTTTTCGCCAGATTTTCGGCCGGATTTACGGCCGGATTCTGGCCAGTGAGCCCGAAAATATTTTTCTTTCTCCCCTGACTATCCGGCCTTCAATCCGGCCAATATTTGGCCGGATTTGCTGCAGAAAAAGCTGTTTTCTGCAGTTTTTCCTCCAAATTTGCTTGGCCAACCTTCCACATTCCACCTGCTTTCATGTTCTTTGAATAAATCCAAATTTAACATTAGAAATGTATCTTTCTAACCCAAATACACGTGAAGATACATGATCATGCATGAATATAACTTTAACATGAAACACTTTAAATGCATGAAATGTAACAATTGAACATGAAAAACTCCCTTTTTGCCTCAATATAGACACTTTTGCAATTGAAATCATTTGCATGAACTCTTGCCATTACCACCTACAAAACACACAAAACACTGGTTAAACAACTAAAACTTACTAAAAACAAGAAATTGTTGGGTTGCCTCCCAACAAGCGCTTCTTTATAGTCATTAGCTTGACTATATTACTTCATTATCAAGGAGGCTTAGTTAATGAATAATCCACCATTTTAGGCCTTGGTGGATCATTGTAAGGTGACTTAATAGAAAAAGCCACATGATCTAATGATGTGAGAGATGGAAGTGACTTACATATTCCAAGTGTTTCATAGATATTATCTTGAATATGCACCACTTGAGAACTTACCAAAGGAAATGCCATGAAAGTATCTTGGGCAGGAATATCTTTAAAACCTGTACTTTTTATACACTCCTCAAGAGGGGTGAAAATTGAGTCCTTAAAACTCACCTCTTGAGGTTCAAAGTTAGTTCTAAAGATATTATCATGTGAAATGGACATTTCCTCATTGAAACACAAGTTAGAATCATCATTTTGATCAAAATGCAATCCATTTTTACATACAACATTCCCACCATTCATGCTAGGATCATTTTGCACATTATTAGAGGAAATAACTTCACACAATGCACTCAATTGCTCATGTATTCGACCAAAGTGAGAAGCTAATTCATCTATTCTTTCCTCAATCCTATCAAAACGATCGAAAGTTGTATTTGCTAGCTTTTCTATTGCTAAATCAAATTGATTAGAAAAATTTTCTACAGCTAGCTCCCAAGATGCATTAGAATCATTAGCTAATGGTTCATTTTCTAACTCCCAAGGTAGAGGTGTATTAGCTAACTTCTCTATTGCCAACTCCTAAGATGGTTTTGATTCATATTGGACACTTTCAGGTTGGTAATCATAAAAATATGAATAATCACTATAAATACATTGATCATCCCAACCATAAGCAGGAGAATTGCTCCAATTAGCACTATATCGATCAAAACAAGGATTGTAATGCTCTAATTCATCATAATAATCCACATGTTGTGCTTGTCTACATGTATTAGAAGCATGATAACCTCCACACAAGTCACAAATCACATGATAAGAATTAAAAGCATTAACATTCCTCCCTTGCTCAATTTCATGCATAATTGTGTCCATTTGAACTTGTAACATCATAACATCAAATTTAGTCTTTAAGCACCTTATACCATCTTCAAAAGACATACATTCAGTAAATTCTTGGTTACCTCTGTTGAAGGAGCTTTGCACTTAGTAACCATCCATTGCTAAACTTCCATTTCTCAAGCATTGTCCTCCAAATTGACCTACCCTTCTCATCACCTAAAATTGCTTTTAAACAACCTCAAAAGCAAAATTAGTAAGAAAAATAGGTAATGAAACACATACACACATAAAACACAAAAATAATAGAAAATAACATTCACACTATAACTAATGAAATGTCTAAACTAATAAAGTTGTTCTTCACACCGATATTGCCAAATCTTCCCCGTCAACGGCGCCAAAAACTTGACGAGCGCGGGATATACATATAACATTAAGCTCATCCTAATCAAGTTTTACATTTATAAACTCCTAAATACCCCACACGCGATTTATCGCAAGTATACGAATCGTGAGCGAATATAGGGTAGTAAGGGTCGATCCCACAAGGAAGATTGCAATTACCGGCACTACTAAAGTTTCTTTATTATTTAGACTATAAAATGAATTATAACAAGTTAAATCTACTGAAATTATACAAAATAACAAATGAAAACTCCTTAGGTTATGGTATCTCTAACTACTCATGCAATTGCCATTTTTGGATCATTGAGTACTACTATTTAGGCTAGTTATGGTGTAATTTCCTTAAACATGTGAAATCTACTTTCGTAGTGAATCAACTATACTCATAACTAATCCATACCTATTCTCATGGTTATGAAATTAGCTACAAGTTCATTTCTTCAGTGAAATTACATGAAATTAATCACTAAAAACCACATAGGTGCACCCCTACTTTCGTGAGTGTACTCCCTATGTTTAGCACTTCTTGAACCAGTGTTAAATTTCAATTTTCATTGCAAAAATAACACCTTAGATAATCACAATTAATGGTACCAGATTAATCATGATTTAAAGAGCCAAAGTGCTAAATAACTTGCTCAAATCATAGCAATCAAATAACCAAATAATAAACACTAACAATCATAGAAAGTTCAACCAAACCCAAGGTATAAACTTTAAAACACATAATAAACACAAAATCCAGAACTTGTATATTAACCAAACTTAAGAATCTGATACAAAAGATAAAGAGTTGGAGAAGAGATAACCCATGTCACTTGAACTTCAACTCCTCCATCTTCATCTCCATCTTCATCCTAATGTAGCCAAGATACAAGAATGAATGATCTATACTACTCTACACTAAGCTAAACTAACACTTAGAAGATGAAGGAGCTACATTTCTACACTCTCCAAGTTCTCCCGTATGTCTCTCCCTCTCCTCTTCAATCTTGCAAGCTTTTGCTATATAATGATGAAAGTTGGTCAAGAAGTGAGGTTTACACCTCCCTTTTACAGCTGGAAATGATTTTCACATGTCTAGCATCACATGTGAGTTGGTAGAGGTGAAATTGAGTTTTTTGCGTAAAGAGCACCCTTCTCTGACCACAATCCGGCCAAGTTCCGGCCGGATTGCTATAGTGACCTTTTGGTCACTTTCTGCTCAATTTCCAGCTCTGCTCCAATTTTACATCAACTTCAACTGAACTTTTCTTGATGATAAAAGCTGATTTAGCTCTTGACCAAAACATGAAAGTTGTAGCCCTTTGAGTTAGCTTTCCAATGCATCAAGAATCACCTCATTTAGATTTGTGTGGGCTGAGAAATGACCAAAATACCCTTGACCAGTAGAAATTGGCTACTGTAATTCGGCTTTTTGACTTGGAAAACCTTCAAACTGGATTCAGATGTCTTCACCAAAGTTGTAGATCTATCTCTTATCTTCAAATGGGTTCAAGAATCATCCCAATCCTATCATTGTAACTCAAGTTATAGCCGAAATACAAAAATGTGTCAAAACTGTCAAAATACACAAAATCCAAGTAAAAAGTGATAAAAACCTCATTTAATTATTTAAAAGCATTTTTCACCAATTATAGCCAAAATGATTCATATTCTTCCAATAATATAACCAAAGTGACTAAAAATAATATAAAATATCATACAATTATTACGTAAATTAGTCATTAATCAATAATCTAAGAAATTAGCCCAAGTTTTAGGGCTCCTGGGGATGAAAATCTTTGATTAGTGATAGAGAAAACTAAGGAAAATTAGAAGTAGAGTTCAAAGACTTATCAGAGGAGTTGAATTCTTGTATTCTCTTCCTTTGTTAGCTAGGTCTCTTCAGGTCAACTTTTCTTCTACTGAAACTCTTACTCTCCACTTTTATGGTTTTCTTCTTAATGTTGTAGAAATTTAACTGCAATTAGACAAATTATAGTTGGAGTTATTCCATGTATAGCCATTCTTCTTGACGTAACTCCGCCACTCAAACTAACTTCTATCTCCCACTTTATCTCCTACAATATCTACTAGTTCATGTCTTTCCCTATTTTCTCTCCCATGATATATCTATTAAATTTGCATATTTGGTGTTGGTTTGATGGAGAGAGCAAAAACACATTGCATCTGTTACTTAGGCTATAGAATGGGAGTTAGTTATCCAACTCTCACTATCTCCTAGTGATTGAGATGGGATAGGGCATTATCATCACCCTCTAAAAGAAATAATTAACTAAATAAACTACTAGTAAAATAATCAATAATATTGGTTAATTAACTAGTTTTAAACAAGAGAGACAGAAAATTCGGGGTTTCACATTGTGCCCTCCTTAAATATAGTTTCATCGTCGAAACTTCATGTCATTAAGGAAAGATCAAATGTATAAATGAGATCTAAGTTGAGTCACAATTATTAAAAATGTTTATAAAATTTGCAAAGTCAATTTGATATTTTGGTAGTGGTAGTAAAAATTATTTTAATATTCATTTTATTATAAAACACACCAAGATACTAAAAAAATTTTTATGCACAAACTACTGGCAGATTCTCATATTAAAATCTAATGATTTTGTCGTAACATTGACACAATACTTAGCCATTTCTAAAATTTTGAAACTGCACAAATTTAGAAAACTAAACGTGTTTGAAAATATAGAAGTCAAGTAACTATGCCTCTTACACTATCAGAATTTAAAATATGAAGAGAATCTAATTAGTAATTATGGTAAGATTCTTTTCTACATGATATGCAAAAAAATTTTTGTTCCTTAAAATGTAGGACAAATTGAATAGAAAACCATTTTCTAGATTAGATTTGTATCATAAATATATTTTGTAAAGTGTTATTAAAATGAAAATATACTTATTTAATTTATTTTTTGCATTTTTATTGTTATTTTATATATATTCATACTTATATATTTTTAGAAATTATACTTAATGAATGACTATTTGATATATGTACTTAGTCAAAAATTCTGGTCATAAGTTGTTTGGGAAATAAAATTATTAAATTTTAGTTGTACATTTTATTCTTTTTTTTTTTTTGCAAAAATTATGTAAAATTGTGTATTGTAAGAAATTTCTAAAATAATTATTCACTAGTCGTGCTGTAATAATACCAAGAGTAATACTATTAGCTAGTTCAATAAATGTTTCCAGGATAAGATCTAATTGTCTTAAACCTTAAAACAAGTAAAAAAAATGGTTCCATAAAAAAATTTAAAATCTTGTATGGCCATGTAATTTGTTAATTTTCTTGTATTTTTCATCATCTGTGTGTTTCTTCAATCAAAAAAATCAAAAAATCAAAAAAGACGAACTCGAAGTCTGCCAATAAATGAACAAAATCCAAAGCCGACTGATAACGTACTCAATTGGCCACATCAGATTACTTTTATGGTTGATGTAATTGTAATAGTTTATTGGACTTTAAATTAGTCATTGAACATTTGAGAATAATAATATGATTACGCTTTCCTATAAACTAATTCTCTTGTGCAGATATCTTTTAGATTCTAGTTAAATTTGTCAAGTTTAGAGCCTTGAGGAGTGATAGGGGCTAAAGATTTATCTATTTTCAACTTGGGATAGGTAGAAATTAAGGGGAAAAAAACTTGGGATGGGTTGGGTCATCTCGCCTTAATATGTTAGTTGCTCAAGTACTAGTAAATTGGTCAACTAATCTAATTAAATTTTAGTGGACCTTTCATCTTTAATTGTCTTCATACTTATGTAGTAGTGTCCAATTTGTAAGTTCAAATGTTAATGGACTTGTCATGGATATACATTCAATTTGTCAAGCTTAAAGCCCCAACGAGTGATAGGCAAACGACTTATCTATTTTCAACTAGGGATTGGTTAGGTTGCCACACTCTAATATATAAGCCGCCCAAGTGGGTCATTATGAATTATTCAACGTAGCGGTGGCCAATTTATAAGCTCGATTGTTAATATACTTGTCATGGATCTACATTTAATTTAATTTAATTTAATTTAATTTAATTAATATTAATTTAATTGAGTTGATAGTGACCGATTAAATAATAACAAAATTTTGTTACCTATTAGTTGAATAAGTTTGTTTTGAGCATTTGAAGTGGTAATATTTTTGTTTTCAATTTGAGGGAACAAATTATTCTTATTAGAGTCTTTTGTTCTTCAATGATTCTATATATACATGAAAAACAAGAAGCAAACGCTAAGATTTTTAGTTCATATGTTTGAAAAGACGGATAATTAGGTATAGATAAACAAGTTGCTCTAATAGGGCGCATTATTTTTTCCACATATCTGGTTGGGTGAAGACATATAGAAGTTAGCCTTGAGGAAAAAAGTTCTTCAATTATTATCATGCGAAATTTGCATGTTGCTTTATACTACATTTACAACAAATGTAATGTGAACTGTATGCGAGCCATCGAATAATAGTATAGCCCCATAATTGTAACCCTTTGAGGCATATTTGCTGTCAAATGAGACTTTGAGAAGTAATTTATTCACACTTGTTGTAAAATTAGTGTTTGGATTGCATTTTCCATCATTTTTCATGGAAAAATTACTGTAGCGATTTGATATATGTAAGGGAAAAATGTGATAGGGAAATATGATCACGGAAAACGACAATATTTTCCGACAGAAACAAGCAATCCAAGCATGGCCAGTTTGGAATCACCTTGACCGTCAGACCAGGTGGAGCTCGTAACGAAGAGAAATATGTAGCATTTGGTGGACCAACGTTAGTCACAATTCTTTTGACTCTTTTTGCACCTTGGGATCTGTCGAGTTCGCCAATTGATATGGAAGGGTAATTGACGTTGGAGATAAGTTCTTTGGCAGAGTTTCCTTTCCTGGGCAGCTGAAATTTCTATTTGACATTGATCTTATAGCTTTTTCTTTATAGCCATAGTAACAAAGGAACCGCAAATAAGAGGTCTCAAATACTAAACCAGGATGAAGAGCTCCAAGAGGGCCGATTTCCCCAACCCCCATATCATGAGGATTTCCATTGTAATTTGAAGTATTTGTGATTGGTTTTCCCAAGTTGTTAGATGTAGTAGCGGCAATAAGAAAAATAAGTTAAAACTTTAGTTGAGCTGATAAAGAAAAAGTTACAATTCACGGCATGTAGACCAAAGTGACAGCAAAAAATTCGAGGGTTTCTTCCGTTTTCACCCTAAAACCATGACATGATAACATTTTTCCGTTGTCACTATTTTTAGGCATAATGCTCAAATGCTTTTATATTCTAGTGCTTTATTGTGATTATAAATTAACTAAACAAAACTAAAACGATATTAATTATTTGAATAATTAAGTCAATATTCAAGACACAACGCAAATGCATAACAAGATGACGAACGGACAATTAAAATTTTCGTTGGAATCTCAAAATTGTTTATTAGTATTTTATATGTCTTTGCATAGAAGTGCATGAAACAATTTAAAGTATTGTGATAGACGATATTCCAAACCGATGGAATGCATAAACTAATTAAAACTAGTTTATTTTGTGTGGACAAATTTTGATCAATTCATTTTGCTAAACTTAGACACAATACATAATCATGTATTATTTTATTTGTATGTGAAACTCATTTTGGAGTGCATAATGCATCCTATAAATTTTTATGTACAACAAGGCAAAATGAGAAGAATATAAGAAACAAAAAATATTAATAAGCATCATTTTTTTCTATGTCAGTGTTATGTTTGTCCTCTTGCAACTTATTTTATTTATCTTTCTTCTAGACCAATGTTCCTCCCAAATACGGTACAAGTATTCAAAACAATGCATGATAATATTAATGGACGACTTTTTTTTTTTTTTTGGGTCATTATAACTGTAGTCATCAGAGCAGATTTGATCATTGAATAGCTCCAATTTGGGTGAATAGATTTAACAAATGCCATAGCCCCAGTAACATGTGGCCAAGCCATTGATGTTCCAGATCTTATGCCAAACGATGATGGCTTCATTCCAGGAAGAAGGTCACCCATATTACTTTCTGGAATCATTGCTGCTAAAATTGCGACCCCTGGAGCTACAATATCAGGCTACAAATATATGTTTTCAAATTTTAATGTTAGTTTAAAAATGAACCAATAGTGATGTTGAAATTAAATGCTTGAATCAAACTTAAATTTGTACTTTTATCTGTTATATAACCTTAAGAATGTCTTCTGTCAGTGTTCCAGGACCTCTTGAAGAGAAATCTGCAATAATTGGAGCTGGCTTAAAATTGGGAACTTCAAATGTTGGAAGTATCGTTGCTGTTGGATTCCTGTTTTAGAGAAAATTACTTGTGACCATCCAAATTACTTGCAGAATGACTAGGTTCTAATTGTGTGGTAAGCATGGTCATTCTTCTATTGAATGTTTCTCAAATGTAGATTGGGTAGGTTCTATGATTGATCAAGATCTATGAGTGGAATAGCGCTAATGAGACTTGATCTTTTCCTCCAATTTACGCCTACCTTGACACCTTTTTCTTTTTAATCCTTTTTTCTTCTATATTTTTCCACACCCTTAATTTTTATTGTAAGTACTAAATTGCTAAACTTTTTCATCAAATCGAAATCTTTGATATAAAATGCAATGCGATGTGTGTTGTATTGGCCCGTTGAGATGTTATTCATTCTTGAGATACTACAATGCATACTTTACATAAAGAAGTTAAATGGCTCGTGTAACTTCTCTAATATATGTATTTTTCCTTTCCAGTGTTTACTTCCGAGGTTTACAATTTATAGAGGAATTCAAAAAAGTTGATCACATATAGGTCAATCTTTTAAAATTTAAAGAAGGTTAGTGTAAATGTGAGATCTTAACTCAGGACTTCTCGTTTCCATTCCCTCCCTACATACTATCCAATCCATCCCTCCCCAATTAAGTAATCATTGATAATAAGCAATACATATACTTTATCTACCTTGTGAATAAGCTATGATGATCTGTGAAGCAAGCCACTTACTATGAATAAGTATCTAAAAGTTTTAATTACATGCCTTTAGGTAACCATGGGCATAAGTTGCAATTAAAAATAATGAGACAATAGGATAAAAACAAGAAAAAAAATACTAAATTTAAAGATTGCTTAAATCTAACGTAATTACCAATTTAAATAATAAAATCAATGCTTAAAAAATGTTGCACGTAATAATGAAAAACTAAAAGCATAAATGCTATATCAAGTAATTTTTTCTTTCACCTCCCGTGGGTAGCTCGGCTGGAACCGGTCGTCTGTAGTTATAGCAAGGTCTCAGGTTCAACCCTCACGTGCTACCGTTGTTGAGTATCTTTGGGGCAAAGTTCTGCCCAACCTAGAGGGATTAGCCTCCAGACCTGGAAAAAAAAAAGTAATTTTTTCTTTCAAAAATTATATTTACATTGAAAGAATAAACTTGCTTTCGTTTAATACTCTTCCACTTTTTCCCACCTTCTAATAAAAGTAAATTGACGTCATCATACAATTTGAAATTTGCTCATGGAAACTATTCATAGAATGTCATTCAAACAAACTTTAATAAATGTTAGTAGTATACTATTTTAGAAAGAAGTATTTTCTAATTACTAAGAGGTTACAATACGTAGTTGCACTACTTTTTTTAATTAATAGTTAAAATATGGGTGCATGGGTCTATGTAGGTTTGGATTTTAAATCTGAATTATTCAAAACAAAACTCTACTCTGATCCATAAAGAACTCTTAGAGGGTCTCTGTCTGGTTAGGTGTGATTAGTTTGGAAAAAAAAATTAGATTAAGACTCGTGGAAATAATGATGGGTCTGGTTTGGGTTTGACCCACTATATATGTAACAGTAGTTAAACTAAAATTATTGTACAAGTATATTGTTTATATAAATTATGGAATACTTGTATAAATTTTAATCTTATTAAACTCGTGTGTCAATTTTCATTCCACAAAATATAAATGGAGTCTTTTGGAATTTAACCAAAAAACATTTTATCCTCCATAAAAGATGGACAAGTTGTTCCAAAAGCATTGAGTTAAATGCATATTTGACATTTCAAAGAAATATAGATTCAATTAAACAACGAATCCACATATCAAATGAAAAATGATAAACAAGTTGAAGATACTAAAACATGACGAAATTACAAAAAAAAAAATGTTAAATAGTCAAAATGTTTACAAGGTGTAAGTTTTGATGTATACATATATATACTTAGCCATATATGTAGATAGTTAAGATTATTGAGAAAAAATGAAATTGCAACTTCTGATGAAGTAAAGAAGAAGGATACTAGATAATTTAAATTTAAAAATGTATACTAGATAATTTTTTTCTAACAGGGGAGAGGTGGAGGTGAAATTTAAGAAGTAAGAAAGGGATATGGGTTTTAGAACCCAAGACCTCTCTAATTACTAATATTTCATTTTTAGCCACTAAACAAAGCCTTCTCGGCAAAATTGAAAAGCTACTCTTGAATTAAAATAAATGACTTCACATGCATGGATTTAGAGAGGAAAGTGTTACTCTTACTTGGTCGAATTTAGATAGTTGAGAATTGGAGATCCTGACGACAGCTTCCCAACTTCTTCTGTAAATGGAAATATGCCGGAATCAAGTAGTGAACTTCTTTTTTCCTCATCAATTAATATCAAACCCTCATCAGCTTTTGCATCTTCTACTACCAGCTTCTTGATCATCGATCCTTGATATTGTTGGGTTATCATTCAAACAAATCACTCTATTTTTCCAGCAACTTTTTTGCTATCTAACGACCCTGGAGCACAATTCCTGCATAGCATAAGAAATATTAACTGTACATGAAACAAAAGTACGTGTTGTACGAGAAGTGCAGACATATATAGTTGCAATCCAGAAAAATTTAGGAGAGGAGATACACTTTTAATTACTATTATTCGTACGTATATTAAACAATTACATGAGTTGGAAGAAGAGAAACAAACTTTTGCATGAATTCACACAAGTTTGGCTATGCAGTGATGGATTATCGTACCCATAAACTCATGTCTTTGCTAACAGAAACGGAGAAATGCAGATCTAATTCTAATATTTGGTCTGCCTGTGTATTATGTTAATTAGTTCCTAATGTTTCAATCAAGTCGAATATGGTTTCTAAGTTTAGATAGATTTATGACAATTGATGAAAATTCAACAATTCCTAACTCTCATAGTCGAATTTCCATTAGTTAACAGTTTTAGTCCTAGACAAAAAATGAAAGCAAAAGAGTGCCTGCAGGGATAAGTTCTATTCTAGTTATATAATTCCTAACGCAGCAGCGTACAGACTCATCAAAAAGTCCCCACTCACATTAATTGTACTTGTTTTTCACACAGTTTTCAACCGCTGCTCTTCCAAAAAAGGAAAAAGAAAAAAAGTTCAACAATGGTCTAATTCGAACTTTGGATGTTCCTTGGCAATTTTGGTCTTATTTATGTTTAAGCATTTTAAGAAGTCAACATTCATACAGGTTCAAATCCCCTTCTCTGCTTCTAAAGTTCCACCCATCCTCACCGGAAAATTTTTTTTTAAAAAAAAAAAAAAAAAGTCAACATGTCATCCGATGGACAAATAGAAAAGTTGTATTAGAAAACCAAGGATTACTTTGCATCTGATGGAGAGACAAAAGGAGCTGCAACATTTTCTCCAAATGCAAGAGGATAAGCTTTTGATGAGTACTTGAGAGGCGAGAAATTAATTGCAGTCCCCTATTTTACTTTGTTTGGATCAACAAAGATGAAATTCTAGATTTTGTGAAGAAAGCAGACTCAATTGCAAATCTATAAGCATATATATAGTCATATACACAACATGTGTTGCAGCAGCCAAATACATTCACAGGCACAATCAATATAATTTAGTTGTGTCAAATTCCAATGTGATACTTTAGTCTAAACACGATCGATGACAAATAACCAAATCTTATCTGAGTATTTCCAGATACGAAATTAAACAGTATAAAGCAAAAACCCTTAAAATGAGTAAATTGCTAAACTCGGTGGAAGTCCAACCTTTAAGAGAGGTCTCAAGTGTTGATTTTTTTTAAAAGTAAAAGTGAAACTAATTTAGAGAAGTGTTTAAATGCTGGATTGTAATA